AGGCACTAGTGTGAAAATGTGTTGGGGTAGGCTATTTAGAGGTGTGGTGGGAGAGTTGGTGGTGAAGTGGATGACTATATAACTTTTAATTTGTGTGATTCAGTTTCTTAAAGAACTTCAGGTTTCTCTTGATTTGATGCAGATGCATTAGGTTAAAGTATACTTCATACCACTGGCAATCAAGCTGGTTTCTCTTGTCACTTTGTCACTAGTATTAAATATCCTGTATCCTAATGCTTTCAGTTACAGCTGTGTAACCCCATTGTATTGAGAATTGCACAGATTGTAACTGAATGCTTTCAGTGGGTTGTACACATGTAACTGAGGGCAAAACTTGTCTTGCCATTTCAATTTAGATAGAACTAAAAGCAAAAGAAAATTGGGCTCACTTGCCGTATCTGCATTGTCTGCAATTCTGTTAAGTTGTATATTACTTGTTACTATTATTCTGAAGGATGAAAAACATCAGTAGGATTATTACAGCATGGCAGAATACTGCCCTGTAATGGGAGAGGTAAAGAAACCGTTTTATGGAACATAGAATTCTAAGCTGTCTTTAGTTACAAAAAAATGCTGAATATCAATTAGTCTGTTAGCTTTAATGTGATATCTTTAATCTATAAAATAATATTCAAAGTTATAGTTGTGCAAAGGGAGATTATTAGGAATAATAGGGTTAGGTAAGGGAAATCTTAGACTGAGTAGTGAGGAAAATTTCCAGAAATTCTGGAGTACAGAATATTCTTCCAAGGCAATGATGAAATCCCTGTTGCTTGGAATGCTCAGAATGGACAATTTAAATGTCCAGGTGAACTTTATAAATGTAAATAGGCTGGGCTTGAAAAGTTTACCCAACTGTTACTAATCTGGGCACTAATGCTACTCTACAGAGACAAATTTGTGGCACCATGTTTCCTGCAGTTTACAACAGCTATATTCTGTATTTAAATGTAACTGTCAATTTTCTATTTAATAAACTGAGTAAATGGATAGCTGACTTTTTTGGACTCCCTTTCTTTGTAACTTGGCTTCACTCACTTTGATCATGGTGTATCTTTTCTATGTGGTCTTCAGCCATCTTACCTCTTTCCCTGCATTGCATTACCTTTCTCCTCCATTATATATTTTTCCTTCTGCTTCTCCTCCACAATCTATTGTATTTCTCTTTCGTAACTTATGCTGCCACGCACCCTCACATACTTTCATGTACACACGAAATTTAGAAAAACTTTACTCGACATTTAACAATCAAAACCTGGTAGCAAAAAGTTGGTAAGAAAGATGCAGCCTGTCTGGGCCAATGTCCAAGCAAGAAGCTATCCTATCTTCAACCAAAATTCCCTAGCTATTGAGAAAGAGGAAAGTATAGGAATTTTTAACAAGATGCCGCTTCAGGCCCCTGCTTCCAGGCTCCGCTTTTTGTAGCAGCCTCTGATTAAGTGTCTGACATACCTGAAGCCCACTTTCATGGCTTCTGAAAGTGAAGAGAAGATCTGTCTACTAAGAGCAGCCTGACTGTTGAGAGGAGAGGGTGTGTCTCCTCTATCCTTCCTCCAGCTTCATGATAGTTGTAAAGGAAGGGGTCTCCCTTACCACAGTAATAGCTCCAGACCTGCTCCTAATTTCATTCTGTTGCTGGGAAATGTGTCAATTTCACTGCTGCTCCAGAGAAGCTTCTGAACAGCAGCAGTGAAACTAATCAGTCTTGTCAATTTCATGCTTTTTGCTTAGGAAAGCTATGAATAGTAGATGCTCTAGAACTGTCTGAAGATCTGGAAACAGCAGTGTGTGTTTGTAACCCTCCACCTAGAAACTTGTCTGTTTTCTTGAACTTTAAAAATAAAGTAAGGGTGGTGTTTTAACTAACTGTGACATAATACACACTGACTATAACTGAGACTAGAGAAAAGTCACTTCTGGACATAAAGGACAGTTTCATCCACCCACCCCACACCCCCTATGACTATGTGGGTTATTTTACACAAATAAAGAAAGGGGAAGCCTTGCAAAAGTGATAATAGAACAGCCAAAATTAGCTGGGGGATATAACAGCATATGTAGGACTAGAAACGCCAAACTTAAAAAAAAGGTTGGATTTCAAGCTAATGTCCTATTATGTTCAATTTGCTAGAGGCAATAATATTTCCTCAATTAATATAGACTGCTTAGGTTACCATATTGAGCTTCTTATCAAGAAAAGGATTCTAGAGTATCCAGCTATCACTTAAAAAGAGACAAACTTCCAAACTGAAATTTGTCATTTTCCCTTAACAGTAGATAACTAATAAGCAGTTGGGTGCATTGCCTGGAAGTCTGCAAACTTATACTGTTTACCTAGTTTTGTGTTATAATTTTGTTGTGAAGGGATAATGTTTTTAAACAATGGTGGCAACAAAACCATTTATCATTTTGAGATACTTGAATATTTGTCTGTTTAGCAATGTTTTTCAGCCAGGTATCTATTTTTGAAGTGGCACTGTACTAACTGCCTGACCTAGTCCTAATTTTGCTTTATCTGTTAAACAGTTTCATGTGATGGAATATTTCCTTTTTGAGTATTGTGAAATGTAAAAGTTTCACAAGATACAGTTTTGCTGTTCAGAATTCCTTTGTTCATGAGAATTCTGACTCCTTACAGCCTTCTCAGTCACCTGATGTCTCCAGCTAGCTTCCTTATTTCAGATTCCTTAATTTGGTAGTTGCCTCTAAGTTTGAATTTTTTTTACATTTGTCTTAATTAGGAAGAGGATATTATAACTGTGCAACATTGTGTTCATGCCCATGAATCTGCTTACTTCTTATAGTCACATCTAGCATGAGCTGTGATTCCCTTCATAAAGTTTCTTACCAATCACCCAAAACAGCAAGAATACAAATGTATTACATTTATTCAGCGCTCTGCTGATGACTGTTCTTAGCTGTGACTAGCACAACAGGGTAAGAGTAAGAAGCAGCTGCCAAAGGGTAACCTCTGATGGGTATAAAATCTCTTCGCTAGATTAATTTGTTACAGATCAAAAATCCTCTCACCAATTATATTGCACAAGTATGAATTAACTTTAACGCTTTTAAATGTCCTGTCTTCCTCTGTGATTGATACCATGGAATAACTTGTAAGATAGAAGGTATCTTGCACAATGTCACAGGCTATTTGAATTTATGAATCTAGGGAATTTAAGATGAGTTGCCCAAGGACAACTTGCATCTCCATCCAGATTATTGAACACTGATATGTTGGCTGTCAGTTGTTTAGTCTGAATGAGTTGTATGCCCATTTGTCAAGGACAAACTTAATCTTTCTTACTGGTGCAACCAAACTGCAAATAATTGACCTTCTGCCGGTTTACTTGTAAATGGCATTTGTGCCCATAAAACACTTCAGGGTGCACTTATGTTGTTAGCAGTGTGCCCTTGTTCGGTAGGGCAATGTGGGGTGTACTTGGGTGAACAAAACTCAGAAGCAGGCTGGTAATTTTTTTCCATTACTTCTGTTAGCTGGCTACGCTTACAAGTCAAATGAGGCGAGTTGCCAGAGTGAAATAGCTGGTGCATCACAGGATTGGAAGCAGGAAGACTTGGGTTCTGACCCTGATGCTGACTCCTAGACTTCCCTATACTACAAAAAGAGTACTCATTGGGTGCAGCTGATATGCTTGGGATTATGCTTGCAGTTAATCAGTTTCTATATTGGTGCTGAATGTAAAATTAATTAAATGGTGCCAAATGTTACCTTGTATTTAAGTCCTATTCAGCACCAGTTTAGCTGCTCACGTCAGCAGTCGGTAATGTCTGTACCATATAGCAAGCTGTCATGACTTTAGGCAAACCACTTAATTTGTATGTGCCTTTGCCACCCATCTGTAAGACAAGGATACTATCTAACATGCCTGTCTTGCACGTGTGTTGTGATTTACTTAACGCTTCTGAATTATTCTGACCTATGAACAGAATGCTCTGTAAATGCTAAGTGCTATCACTGGCACCTCTGATCACAGTAGGAGTAATCAGTTAATATATAGGATTAAGTGCAAGCCATTAGCTTGTCCACTAAGCAATAAATAATAATTTCACTTGTTCAGCTTGGACTACGAAAATACAGGATTTTTTTCCCAGCCTGTTGTGATTGCTCAGCTAACCAACGGGTTATATTATCCTTCATGATAAAAGTATGAATGATTCCCGGTCATCCTGAAGTACCCCCTTGTGTCTGAGCACCTTAAGGCCAGGGTTACTGTCCCACTTCCTCTGTCAGGCCCTCTAAGGACTCCTCAGCAGGCTCTCTTGCTTCAACACCCCTCCTTGGGGCCCATTTATTACAAAAACATCATGCAAATAATCAAAAACAAAAGTCCCAAAGCATAGTCCATCTATATCACCACCAGTGCATCTAATCCATTGACATAGCACATACCACACTCCCAGTACCTCTTTGGTCCTCTCCTAGCCTTCTGCCAGGACAGCCACCTAACCATTTCACCTGGAGTCCAACCCCACTATTCCCAGCAGGGACCCCTCTCTGCTGGGAGTTCATCCATGTCAGGGGAACATACCTCACTCCTGTTAACCTTTTTCCAGCTCTCCAGCATGTAGTGCTCATTGGGTAAACCCCTCTGTTGCACCCTTGCCTTTAGTCTTCTCTGGTCCTTGGTTTCAGCTCTCCAGCTTGGAGGTCAGTAGGTAAATTCCTCTCTAGCTTGGGGTGGTCAGCCAGTAAACACCTCTGTAGCTTTCCCCCCAAAAACTGCCCTCCCTCTGTGCTTCTCCCTGATCCTTTATAGCTGCATGTGCTTCCTGGTCCCCCTAATTGGTCAAACTGGAAGCACCTGTACTGGCACAGAGGCACTGGACATGCTTCATTTAAAAGGACCAAAAACCTAAGACTACTTGGCATATTAAAAACAAAAGTCAGATAACCAAGAAATTGGTTTAAAAAAAAAAACAAACCACCTTGCATTCTTAAACAGTATTGTTTCTCTCTCTCTCTCTCTCTCTCTCTCTAGTTTGGAGAAGACTGCAGAAGTAAAACATATCCTCCTACAGGACCAACGTGAGTAACTCAAATTACTACTACACTTTCTACCACATTACAGGAAAACAGTGAATTGGGAAGAAAAAAAAGCAGTTTAAGCTTTTGGCTTGCTTACATAACAGAATCAAATGAAAACATCTCTTCCATAGTTTTGGTCTTGTACTTGGTATAGCACAAATGTATAAACCTATATAAATATGAACTTTGGTACTCATTTTTCAGATTTAAAGGGACGGTTCCTATATACATCATAAATCTTGATTTACCACCCAGCAGAAGATGGGATAAGTTGATGAGGGACAAAAAAATGGAGGTATGAAATAAAGCTTTTGCTCTTAAGTTTAGCTTTAATAACTTGTATATAACTTTTTCATGGAGTGGGAAGAATTTATCTTTGAAATATTTAATGATTAACATTTCTAATTCCAGTCTTCTGTACTTAAACTGATCTGACTTAAGGTCTTGACCAGAAAAAAAAATAAAATGGCTAAGTAAACACTTTCTTCCTACAAAATGTTTGTCAAACTAGATCTGACTTAATAGAAGGTAAGTTAACTAGTAATTAGAACACTTTGAAGAGTGGTGTTTCCTGAGGTGGACTTAAGTTTTCTTTTCCTCTTCAAATCTAAACACGTTTATTACGGGGGAATTGTGCCAGAGTGACAGCCTTCTGGGGGCTGAAGTATTCTATCCACAAACGCAGGATACAGTGGCAGTAGTCTTAACTTTCCCACATGATCCAGTCAGTATGCCTCATTCCTAATATGGAGAAATTGACTCTGGTGCTGAGTGGGTAGTACATTCCTCATCACCAAACTGTTTTTGGCCTTCCTAACACTGTAAATTAAGGCACCGACTGTGGTGGAGTTTTTTGTGGAGTGGAAAGAGGTCACTAAATTTGGTTCATTCAAGCCATCTAATAAGCCATTGGGTAGGAATAACTCTTGAACAATATTAAGGTGTTTGGTTTGAACCTAAAGAGAAAAGGAACTGTGTCAAATTTTCAAATTTGCTGGTCTCTAAAGTTAGCCTTAAAAATCGTATTTAGGCCTCTAATTAGAAGTGGCTTTTTTCCCCAGATGTGTTGGGCATGAGCTTCTTGCATTGACTTCAGTGCCAGCTGGGACTGTTAATCACCTCTTAAAACTAAGCTAGTTCTGCTTTTGCCCAAATGCAAGTTTTAGGAATCTGTTTTTAGCTAGATTGGAAAACACCTGCCTATATTTTAGATCATGTACTCCCTCTTGAACCATGTAAACCAAATCAGTGGATTTGCACCATTTACAACAGGGCTGCATTTGTTATGTGCTCTCAAGTGGAGAAAATTTGAAGCTTTTCCAGTGTATATACTCGAAGTTTCTTAGAGTAGGGCCCTTATCGTCTTGTGTGAATAAGATAGTGAGTAAGGGTTCCAGAATTGGGCTCTTTAAATGGCTGCAGAGACTGGCAATGTTTGTCTCATCACTAGCATCAGATTATCATTTTCCTATCATTTCCTATATTAAAATGCAAAAGTATCGCAATCTTGAACTCTATTAACTTAAAATTTTTGCCTTTCTAGTTGAAGACTGTAATTCAGAGTATTAAAAATATAGCAAATGCATTCGTCCCTAGTGGCAAAGCGGTTGAAATAGTGGATACTAAGTTGGTAAGTACCTTCAGTGTCTAATTTTTTTTTTTTTTTTTAATCCTCCAACTGCATGCCCTAGCCTCCAGAATGCAGTCCTAGAATCCATAGAAATGTAGGGCGGGAAGGGACCTTGAGAGGTCATCAGGTCCAGCCCCCTGCACAGAAACAGGATCAAATACACCTAGACCATCCCTGACTGGTGTTTGTCCAACCTGTTAAAAACCTGGATGGGGATTCCACAACCTCCCTTGGAAGCCTATTCCAGAGATTAACTACCCTTATGGTTAGAAAGTTTTTCCCTTGCTGTAGGTTAAGCCTGTTACTTATCCAGAGACTGAGACTTCAGATGTGATAGATACGTACTTACTCTTAGTTTAGAAAACTTATTTTCTGGAGTTAAATTCTATTGGAAGACAGATACTAAACTGAGGAAAAAAGTGTTCTGTTTGGGGGAATTCTTATGAATTCAAGAAAGTTTGAACGTAGTCTATCTAGTAGGAAAATTCATACGCCATTGAAAATGACGGTCTCTTTAACAAAACAGACTTACTGCAATGCTGTTTTTTCTGCTGTGCTGTACTCCTACTTAGTCATTTTCTTTAGTTCACTGCATGTGACAAGTGTCTGACCACAACAGCACTTATAAATTTACCAAACGGTCTTGATCAGAGTCCATTGTTTTGGACTAACAGCAAAACTGTGGCCCCCTCCCCTTTAACTACGAGCAGATATATGAAGTATTTGTGAGTAATTCACGAGTGTGGCAAAACTGAATTGAAACAGTACAGTTTTGAGCAGCAGCAGTAATATCTGGAGTTAAAAGTACCATTTTACTATGTGCAGTTTTGCAAAGGGTAAAAGGGACAAAAGCAAGAGAAACTGCAGATGTGGTGTTGATAAATCTGCTGATCTATATTGTAAGACATGTCTGTATACACTGCAATTTCCCTTTTATCCTTTGTAAATTTTTAGACCTCCTCAGCTGCTAAACTGACTGAAATGATTATCTTTAAAACTCTTAATAAAAGTTAGATTCTTTGGGTCAAACCTTCAAGCCTAGTTGATCCAGACTTGGTACAGGACCTGAGCAGGGAGCAAGATGACGTGCTCAAGCTAATGTGCTAAAAAGAGCAGAGTGGATGTTGAAACATAGGGTAGCCACCCAAGTATGGACCCGGGGATCAGGCAGGCTTGTAGCTGGTCAGCTAATTCTTTGCCAGGTTATCTTAAGCAGAGCTTGTGTGTGTCTGTCTTCCTGGACTGGGAAGCATTCTTAGTTGCAGTGTAGACATAACATTAGACAACTCTGCTTGCCTCATCCTGAAGGCAGCAGGCGGCCAGGTCTGTCCCTACACAATATACAACAGTCTCGTGTCACTCCAATTCGCCTCTGTGGCGGGGAGTAGGTAGGGATTCCCCTAATCAGCATTATTGTGAATGGTGCCTGGGTCTTGTCTTGGTCTTAAGTCTGTGGTCTCAGAAATTAACTGGACGTTGTGCCCATCTCCATTGTTTGAGTGTAGAGATTTTAATAAACTAATTTTTATTCTTAAGGTGCTTCCTTGCTTTTCAATTTTTTCCACAAACCCCTCAAATATTTGCAGATATTCAGTGTCCAGTTTTACAATGTCAGCCTAGAAAGATGTGACTATAAGGAGGAGAGAGCCTCTGTTTAGAGACCAAGATATTATTCATCATCAGTTACAATTTAAACAAGTTGTGGGTTTGGTATTTTTTTTGTCCCCCAGGTTCGGCTGATTTCCACCCTTCCCTACCCTTTCAATGAAGAGCTCAAAGGGATTGCAAATGCTTCGGGCATTCCTTTGGGTAATAATTTCAACATTTCAGTTCTATAATGTCTGAATCACTGATTTTTCTTCCTCCCCTTTAAAATTGCAGTGCATTTATCTATCACATTAGCCTACACTACCTAATTATTCAGTATATAATGGTAATTTAATGATGCTTTATATGAACACATTATCTGTAGGAATATGACAGCAAATGACACTTGAAAGATTGCAACTTGTAACCCTTGTGTCCAACCATGCCCTCTCTCTGATGGCCTTGTGAAGCAGATCTTCTGCTGAGAGATATGGAGGCTCTCAATCTAGGACTGCTAGAAGTTGCAGCACTCCTTTGTTGAGAGTTCTTTGCCTTTCCTTACACCCACTCCCAACATGCCAAGAGGGGCAGGGGTAGGAGTGCTTGTGGGACTTTTCTCCCCAGAAAGGCTATGTGTAGCTACATGCCATAGTAAAAAGCAGGCCGCAGCTACACATGCAAATGAAAGGCATCCCACTGCCAGAGCCATACTGCTAAAAATAGCCTTGTAGACTGGGGAGGTGCTGCTTGGACATGTGGAGAGCCATGTAGAGTACATACCCACAGGGTTCAGATGTGACTTGAATTGCCTAAGCAATGCCTCACCATCTACACTGCTGTTTATACCAGTGCTAGGGGGACATGCAGCGTATGTACTCTACATGCTAATAGAAGGTGTGTGTGCAGACTCTCACACTGGATCTCTGGGTACTACATATTCTCTGCCAGAATCCAGGCAGATCAGGAGAACTGCTGATCTGTGCTTTTTTCCCCCCAACAATCCTGGCAGTGTGCAAGCAGCACGAGCAGTGCTATGTTGAAGATCTTGTGTGATGCAAGTTGCTGAACAAGGAAAGCTGTATCTTCAGTGTCAGATTTGGGTGGGCACATAGGTGCAAGAGAATCTAGGCCCCGTGTTAGTTTAGTTCTTAAGATATTGAAGCTCCTTATACCTCTTGAGGCTCTTGCCTTTAAGTGAATTGGCCATTGACTCAAACCCTAAGAGTCAAATTGAAATTCTAGATAGGTAGTGCTGTAGGATTCTCCTTTCTCCAATAGACTTCTTTTCTAATAGCTACTCTTTTTATTGACAGTCTGGCACTTGGATTGAATGCTCCTTTTTTTTCCTAGGAGAAATTGTTCTGTTTAATATCTTCTATGAAATCTTTACAGTATGCACTTCAATAGTAGCAGAAGACAAATCAGGTAAAGTCTGTTCTTAACCACTTTTATTGTGAATCTTATGGGAGCAATGGCTTTTGTCCTGTGTAAATACTTTTTGGTTGAGCTTTTGATAATAGTCCACTAGGAACTTTGCTATTGCTGGCTTCTGTTCCTTGCTCTGTTGCTGTCCAGCTGGATGAAGTGACTTACTCAAGGTTGCTGTTTCCTGCATCAGTTTCCCCTTCTAGAAAGTAGAGGCGATGATGATATTGAACACTGTAAAGCATGTTGTGATCTAGAGATAAAGAGCACTATGTACAAGTTCAGTACTTTATGTGGAAGGTGCTCAGATACTGTGGTGATGGGCAGCATTTATATAACTCTAAACCAAAATAGTTTTAAGTGGCTGATTCATACCTACTGAATTAAAAAAAAAAAAATCACTCCATCGTTGCAGTGTTCTCAGTTGCTATGTGAGAGAACTGGGTTTCTGGTTTTGTTTTCTTGGTCCATTCTTTCCCCTTCCTAAACTGCACAGACACTAATATGAGTTGTCGCAAAAGGAGTCTTCCATTTTTCAGCCAAATGGGTGATAGTTTTGAGGGTAGGAGTGAATTCAGTGAACAAATGACATGAGGATTTCATTTGCTGCTTTTTCCCTTCCTGGAAATGAGTTCTGATATTGCATGATCACTCTTCCCATAAACAGAGTTTTTAGAGCGGGGGAAAAAAACACCTTTACAAACAGAGTAGATCATCTACTTATTTAAAACAAAACCCTCAAACAGCTGTGGATTGAAGCAGTAAACTGGAACTGCTTTGTATTCATCATTCCAGGGACTCTGAAACACTATTAGCAATCTGTAAACTACTATAACTTTGCCTAGGTTTCAGATTTACTAGGGTAGTTGAAATGCCTTTCCAAGAAGACACAGCATTTTTAAAGTTACCTGATTATGTATTCATTCAGGTGTTCTATCATGTTAATTTGATAACATTCCATATTATTTAAAAAACAAGTAATGGAAAAACTGGGAGAATTGTATTTTAATCCCCAAATAATGTTGGGGTTTGGAGTCCATTTTGATATAGAAAACAATGGGACAAGTGTCAGAGAAAAAACGCTAAGGTTAGGAAACATTAAATTTTAGAAAGGAAAAGCTTTAGAAGCAGACTTGTTCCAAATATCTTTTTGGCAAAAGTAGCTTCTTTGGTCTCCCTAATCATTCTTAATATAGAATGGTATTCTTTAGCATCCATGTTGGTATAGCAAGAACACCCACAACACCATCCAGTTATAAAAATCTGTCTGCTATGAGTTCAGCTTGCCTGTTTTTCTTTAGTCAGAGCCTTAACCCCCTAGACATGCCTGTTTTTAAAAATATATTAAAATAACTTCTCTTCTAAATCCAGGAAAGCTGTACCATGCTAGAAATTTAGATTTTGGACTATTTCTGGGGTAAGTACATGTGTGTCTATCTGCCCATTAGAAATCATAGAATGATTCCGAATAAGAGTCCTAAAAGCAACCGAGGCGTGAATGTTACTCTGCTGTTTTTCAGTACAAGCTATTAATTTAACATTTACACATTGTTTGTCACAACTAGTTACTGTTACTAATTAACTCTTCACTGTATATTGCTGGTATAATGAAAAAGACTAGTACAGGGTAAGAGTACAGCTCTTTACCTCAAGTAGTAAAATGACCCTTCTTCCATACTTAGCAGAAATGGCTGTTCCGTTTTTTAAAAAATCATATCTTGTCCTGCTAGCATGGAAGAACCCCATAGATGGCCCAAGTGAATCCCCCCCACCCGCTCACCCACACCAGGGAATGGGCATGAATAGTTGCTGGAAACACTTGCACTCTGTGTGCTCCACTCTGTTCCAGCAGGTGGAACTCGCTCCAGAGCACAGCATCTGCTGTGGCACAAGACACACAAGACACAGTGTAAAAGAAAAGTAGTGGATCACTGGGGTCACCAAGCTTTGGCTGTGGTCAATATCTAATTCTTCTAATAGCATCATGTGAACTGAAGAAGCACTTGTACCATGTCATCTGGATTATTCCTGCTGCTTGTTTTATGGTCCTGTGTGTGTATACACACATACCGCACAACAGCACCATCAGTGTGAACTCTGGAATTGAGTTTCCTTAAAAGGATAGCTTGGGTCAGACAGACTTCAGCTTTTACATCTCCTAAGATCAGAGAAATGTTTCCATGGAATGATCTTCTAAATTCTCTTGGAGAGTTTGCATCCCAAATATTGCCACATGGTAGTGCAAGAGTTTGACCAGTTTGTATTTTTCTTAGCTCAGAGATTGTAAACCATAAATAGTAAACTGAGTACGAAACAAGGGTGAGATCTTACCACTCTTAAAATTATCTCTGGTGCTGCTTAATGTGCTTTGTTTTTTTAAATTTGTATATGTTTAACCTGCCTATCACTGTACTTTCAGGTTGTTTTCAGTTTTTTTGTTAAATAACTATAATCATGTAGTTATATGTCCTTAGTATCTGAGGCCTACAGTACACCTTGCTGCTTATAGACAGATGGACTAGAGACTCAACTGTGTAATATTCTGAGAAATGTCTCTAAACAATTCAGTTTAGATTTGGGTAACCGTTATTGTACAGGTCATTGTTTTCTTGACTTCTCTCAGTATTCACAATCTGTTCTGTCCAGAGCTGGAGTCTACTCACTATTATATATCTTCTAATGTTTCTGTATCATGTTCCCTTCCACTCACTTTGTTTGAATAGAGTGAGCTCCATTGTTTGGCAGTAGTTTTCCTTCCAACTGTCTCTATAGCCAAGAATTTCAGAATTCCATTAACTTATTCACCCATTACATTTCTGAAATGTCAGTTTTATCTAGGTTTTTCTAATACCTCCACAAATTAACCATAACTACTATCTTCTCCATATTTTTACTAGAACTTCTGCTCTTTTATTCGAGCTACATTGATCAGTGCTCCTCAGCATCTTTCAAATTTCCCTTGACTAATATCAATAATAACCTCCCCACAAACAACTTCAACTCTGGTTCTTTCGGTTTTCAACAAAGAAAACCTCTGTCTCTTTAATGAATCCTGATAATATTGCGTCTTTGGTTTCTCAATGTCTGTATAAGATAAGGACCTGGCTGAGACTTTAAACTAAAGATGGACAAAGGGTGATCAAATCTCATGGCGGAGACCACCAAGAGGTATACATCTTTGGGGTGCTTTAAAAGTCTCAGTAGCTCCTGGAATTCCAGGTAATCTCTGCCAAAAGTGGGGTCGTTATGACAGTTGAGATCACTTCATGACCCCTTACTAATAGGGTTAGGGTGGCTTAGTAAGTATTGCATAGAGGTCCAGTTTGGCACTGAACAATCAGGTGTGGGCCAGTATTGGGTCTTTAAAACCATATATTCACCCAAACTGCATTTTATAAATTTGATTTTCACTTTCTTCATGCATAGATTCGCTAGAAGTAAGGAATTAAAAGTAATGCTAAATGTGGAATTAAGAACACTGTTGTATTGGGTTTATGTGTACATTTAATGCATAGTTAAATGTTGCAGTCTGTATAATAACATGGGTTAGCAGAGTTGTCTTAATAATGCACACTTTCCTTCTGTAGGTGGGACATAAAAAATAGTTCCTGGATTATAACTCGGGAACTGAAGCCCTTAGTGGTGACTCTGGACTTCCAGAGAAACAACAAAACAGTATTTAAGTCTACAAACTTTGCAGGATATGTGGGCATGGTGTCTGGAATCAAACCAGTAAGTGTTCTTTGTTTGCAACACCACAAAACTTTCTGGCTCAGATTTTCCTTTTTTAGAGCAAGATTAACCTTCCTTCTAAGGATCAGTTAGGAACAGGTTTGAAACTTGTTCATTTGTCACCTTCAGAGATTGTCCATCTTTTGTAACTGAGCCCTTTACACAAGTTATAGCATCCAAGTTTACTTATAGTTGAGATGGAAATGTATGCTTCCAAAGAATGGAAAAAGAAGAAAGGATACTTGTTGGAAAATGCCATTGATTTGCACAATTTCATTATAAAAGGAAATTGCCCACATAAAATACTTGAACTTTGAAGCTAGCTTGTATAGCTAAAGGAAAATTTCACACACACTCAAAATTCAGAATCGTGCGGTCTTGTATCCAGCACAGATTTGGCTTTAAAAAAAGAAAAGTTAGATGAGCAGCTTTGTGAGCAAGCAAAAAATGAGATCACCCGTGATTCCCAAAAAGACGAAGAGCTGAACTTGGTCAGTGTTCTTAGTGTTGTGTTCATCTCTCTTCCTGGCAAACGTAGGCATGTATTTTAAATTAACTTGTCTTGATTCTCAGACAGCTGAGATCTGGGGTTTAATCAAGATTTTAAACACTGACTATAAACATACACCCTGCTTCTCAAACGGGTGGCTTTTCTCTCTGCCTCCTCTTTTCCCTGTATTTTACCATCACCTCAGATCTTCTCCAAATGCTCTGTTCCACTCTTCTCTACCATTTTAGCCACAAACACAGTAAAATGAGCTCCAGCAATATTAGTGTGAGTTCCACCTTCAGGAGTCTAGGCCTTAGCTGTTGAGTTCCCTTCCCACCCCACTGGAGGAGTGGAGTACAGAGGAGGGGTTGGGGAAATTAACCTGGAAGCTCATGCACCTTGGTAGTTTCATGTGCGACTATAATTTATAAGTGTGGTACCAGTGACCATGCCATGGGGCAAGTCTTCAAGCCTGGAACTTTCCTAAGGTCTGGTCTCTTTCTGGGAGACTAATTAGGTGGCTAAAAGGGAGGTCGGATACATTATTGGCAGGTAGTTGATGTGATGCTCCTGTAGTGGTTTGAAGGGAGAATGACCCCAGCATTGGATTAGCATGACAGGAGAATCTTCGTGGCTTGCTACAGTAGGCTACAAACCCCAGAATACAGTTCAGCCTGGTCTTACCCACATCTAGATTAGTGAGGTTCTGCTGCACGTGTCTAATTTTGCGATTCCTTTCTCAATGAGTAGTTCCACTGGTATCTTTTGGGAATATTCACACACAGAGCAGATTACAGGATCAGGCTATATGTCCACCTTAAAGTACAGTGTTACTCACTGCAGTGTCAGTAATTAGTAAAAGTATCTTTCACTTCATTATGAAAGCTAACTCATTTTGTTTACTGTTTCCCAGGGAATTTTCACTCTTACAATGAATGAGCGCTTCAGTCTTGATGGTGGCTACATTGGTGAGTAACTGAGACTTGTTTCTTGAATATATAGCAAAGTTTTCAAAATTTAGGGGCATCTGCTAACTTACACACAAAAAAAAAGACTGAAGTCAGTGTCAGATGTACAAGACGGGGAAAAACAGAGAAGCTGAGGCTAGGGATTATACCAGGGATGTAGAAGCTATCAAGGGGAAATAAGAAAAAAAAGTCAAGGGGAAATAAGATTGTGTCTCTATGAAGAAAAGTTGTTATAACAGGTGATTTCTTTCAGGAATCTTTGAGTGGATTCTTGGGAGGAGAGATGGTATGTGGATGGGTTTCCTCACCAGAACTGTGCTAGAGAACGGTACAAGGTAACGTGTTTTCTGCTCATCTTCCAGTGGGTTTGTTTATCATGGTAGTGTTGTGGATATTAACATTTAGAACCCCCCTACTCTTTTTTTAATCTCTTATTAGAAACTTGAAAATTAAACTGATCTCTGCCTATTTTGAAAATGTGTGGTAGATCTTTTTAGAAGCTAGAAAAGGAACCTTTTCCTGGCATGCATGTGTGGGGGTTCCTGACGAGCCCTTGTTTTCTTAAATGAAGCTAAAATTAACAGGACCACTTCCACCTCTCGAGTGGCGTATCATGACAGAACCTCTTCAGACACTAACATAAGTTAGGATGTCATGATATTGGGGAAAAAAATGCTTTGTTTCCCTGCAACCCACTAGGTGGGTCATAAAAAAGTTCCCATTTCTGTCTTGACAACCCTTAAAAGAAAAAACTATACAGGAGACGTCTCCCAGAAAACTATAGGCTTTTTTAATAGAAAATCAAATTGTAAACATGAGCAGCTTGCTATTGGAGAATTTTTACTTCTAGAAACTCAGTATTGTTACTTTATATAGTTCTATTAAATTTTACTTATTGAATAAGCCTGATATAATGGAAAATACTTTGAGCATCAATGTTTGGGTATTCGTAGGGCTTAAAGCACACGAGTCTTGTTGAACTACATTTTTTTTCTCTAATGCATTATTTAGTTATCAAGAAGCAAAGGACCAGCTGGTTAAAACAAGACTACTGGCTCCAGCTTACTTCATACTGGGCGGAAACAAATCTGGAGAGGGCTGTGTGATCACTCGTAGCAGACAAGCTGCCTTGGATGTCTGGGAGTAAGTACACTTAAGAGTAAGACAAATTCCGTTGACATAGGCACACCTATGTCTAATGTATGAGCTCTTTTTTCCTTAAAAAGCTGACTCTGGAATCTTATTGCTTGATTGGATTAAAAGCTTTAAAAACTCTGAAAAGCAGCGTTTTGATATAGTATCTGGCTTATTCAGGAAAAAGTGCTTTTATAATCCGAGGCTATTTCACTAATCTGCTCAGGAATCTCAAATTCTTTAACTAGTGCCGTCAGTGAAATACAGATACAGTTAGCATAGGGGGAAAAGTGTATCTAGAGTATTTAACCAGAAAATGAACACACATTTACATCTCTTTTCAAGCCTTAATGCAAACAGGGGCACATGGTACGTGTTGGAAACAAACTATGATCGTTGGAAGGCTCCCCTTGTCTTGGATGACCGTAGAACACCTGCAATGAAGTGCATGAACCAGACAAAGCAAGAGGTAAATATTTTAAAATAACTTAATTTAGTATTTTGAAATTATCTGAACTCAAGCCACCTCATAGTAAGGGTCTGCACTAACCATGGCAGTTCAGGGCATTAGCTTGGTAACAGGAACAACTAAGGCTTTAGATTTCAGAGGAACAGCCGTGTTAGTCTGTATTCGCAAAAAGAAAAGGAGTACTTGTGGCACCTTAGAGACTAACCAATTTATCTGAGCATAAGCTTTCGTGAGCTACAGCTCACGCTCAGATAAATTGGTTAGTCTCTAAGGTGCCACAAGTACTCCTTTTCTTTTAACTAAGGCTTTGATGCAAATTTGCCTACATGATGTATGTATAAAGCAGCTCAGCTGGCTGCTGCTAGGTTTAATGGGAGGCTTCTTCCTGGGCTAGCCTGAGGCTCTCACTGCTTTGCATTTTTAAACTCCAATTTCTGAAGTATTTTTTTTCTTCAGCAGTGCAAGCAGGTTGGGGTACAACTGATCATATAAAAACACTTCCTAAACTACATATAGGGATTGCTTCATCCATGAGCAAAATACTACAGCTGAGTTTACAGGTGCCAAATGTTACAAAACTGCCCTACCTTCAGCAAAGCCTGGCCTGCCAATCTCTAGTGCCTGCTTATCTTATGTCTGGAGGATGGTTGGGGAGTTATGTATTTTCAGTCTGCTTTAACTTTATAGCTTAAGTAGTCAGCAAAGATGATAGGTCACTGTTCTCAGCATGATCTTGCTATGTAATTTGTATGTAAACATGAGCTAATATAAACCTAGCTAATTGCAATTTACTCATCTCTTTCAGAACATCTCCCTACCAGCCATCTATGATGTTCTCTCCACAAAGCCTATCTTAAATAAGGTAACTATTTTTTCACATTTCTTGCAGTGGTGGTGTATTTCCACAACGTGGGTACATCACTTTAGGCCAGATTCAGTGGAGTTTCACCTACTTATGGCTGAGTCAAATTTGACCCTGGTTGATCTCTGTATATTTTGGTAGACACTTGAAACAAAAAAAATATTCTTGGTCTTGAAAATGTTTCAGTAGATGTCTTAGTGGTTATTTTACATCAGTGAGAATGCAATGATCATACTAGCTTGGTAAGAGGATGTGCAGCAAATCCAACTTCATCAAAAAAGGATGAACATCTAATCGTTTCTAACAGCAGTCAAATTACACAAGCAAGGAGAAGTACTGACATGAGATTCCTAAGTAAAACTTCCTTCAAAATATGTTGGCGTCAAAGTTCTCTGGCACTTGCAAAATGTATATGAAATCATTTAAACTTGTATCTGTAAATAGTCAGAGGCAAAAACACTTAGTGAATCTGACCTCATCCAAATCTCATGCTGTTACCTATGAATTTAGAGTTTAAATATCCAAGGGATAAATCTGGTCCACTCTGTTTACAAATTGAGTCATCACACACACCTTATCTTCCTTAGTGCCAGGAGCAAGGAATCTAATGTCAAGGAGCACAGATCAAGGGATGAAAAGTGTTTGATTTATTTTTATAGGGGTGATGTAAATTTTAGGATAATGTCTCCTCTTTTATAAATACACTGATTCAAAAACATTTCAGAGGTTCTGGGCCTTCATTAAGGATAGTACAAAACTGGTTAATTGGCGATCCACATAACTTAGACTTAATTCTTTTAAAACTTTCGGGTTGCAGCTCAAAGTGCTACGTCCCAGCATGCCTAAAGTTTTTCTTTTAACATAGAATGGACACTTGTCGGTTCTTCAATGGGATTAGGATTAAATCTAGTTATAACTAATCATAGTGGCTAGACTATAGGCTTTTTACCTCTGTGGATGGCAAGAACATAATCATTTTTGCTCTTACAGCATACACCTAATGTTTTACTAAAAACAAACCTCATAATATACACAGCTAGAAATATTAGAAGCTAAAAGAGCCAAATAGTTCTCATCCTCTCTGTTCCTCAGGGACTATCTGAAATAGGTAAAATGTGAATCACAGGAGGGATAAAATGAGTTTCCTTTCTCTTGCTAGCTGACTGTGTGCACAACACTGATGGAGGTTTCGGAAGGCCGTTCAGAAAGTTACCTGCGGGAGTGCATAGGTTCCTGTAGTCCATGGTGATCCTTCACCCATCTGGAATGAGCTCTGCCTGTTGGAATTGGATACCCTTCAATAAAAATAACTGTACCTCTGGAAAGGGGCTCTTCAGCCTACAGATTTTTCATCAGAAGTTTGATAGAAGCTCGATAGCTATCTGCAGATAGCTAAGAATAGATCCAATGTAGGACAGGTCATCCATCTGCTTCCTTAATTATTGACCGTTCAGACAACTAGCGTTCTTTTGTTTCTACTTCCAAGTATCTTTGCTGTAAGTGTAATACAACAATCACCTATTAGTCCCTTCTAATTTGTTACCACAATTGTTCACTATCTGAAAATTCCTTTTTTAGAGTATATGCTTTTAAACTACAAAATTGCATTAGCATGGCACCCTCTCCCAGTATGAGAAAACTGGGAATGGTGTAAAAAAGGCAGTTGATTAAATGAGTTCTTACTCTCTTTTCACAATAACAAAATTAAGAGTTTATATTGTTTGGAAGAATGTTTAATGCAGCTATTCCATTATTAAGGATGTATTTCTAAAATGTCTGTGTGTAAAATGACCTATCCATAAAGAAGCTCCTATTACAATAAACAAGCTGTTGGGGAATGTCTTGTGTTAGATCTGGGACAGAAGTAGACTTTGGTGTTTGGGAGATTTTTACCCACGTTATTTCCTTGGCATGACATTTGCACTCTAACAAAAATAACGTTTCAAAACATTAATATTCCTCAATTTTCCTAGAGAATATCTATATTTTGACATCCAAAATGCCTATGTATGAGTCACTGGTGCACAAGACACCTATGCACTCAGGTGTAATATAACAGTGTGTCATTTGCAATGAAAATAGGACATTGCAAACAACTTACATCAAGTAGAGAAAATATCCTGTGAGGAACATAAACACCAATTATTAAATAGCAGATAAAACCATAATGTAAAGCTGTACAGAGAGTGTACTACAATAAGAAGTATTTGAAAAACCAGTAATGTTGGTTCTATTTCTCAGTTGTTAAGGACAAAGGAACTATAGAAACCAGAACTAGTAAATTGGGACAATACTCAAACTGTAGGGAGAAGTTGAAGATGCTTACTAGAGCTGAGTGAATGGGTTTGGTTTTTCCAGTTCCTGGGCAGAACTGAAAAATCCCCAAAAAACTCTGTTTCAAAGTGAAACTTTTTTTGTTGTTGTTGGTTCTCTGCTTGTTTTGGGTGGGTTTTTCTTTTTTGTTTCAGAATGGTTTTAGGTGTTTCACCCTCTAAGTAAATAGCTACTTCTGAACAAAACACAATTTTGAAATGAAACGCCAAAATATTAGCCAAAGCTTAAACAGTTTCAACTTAAAAAAAAAGCTGAAGTAGTGTACACACTAACTTGTGCTCTAGATACTTGGGTCACATTGGAGGCTTTTCCCCCACCCACCTGATACTATCTTAGAAGTTTCAGAGAACCACGGTCTCACATAGAAATGGAAGTTTTGAACATTGATTTTAATTGGGGGGGGGGGGGGGACTATTGATATTGCAACAGTTAATAAAGATGAAGACCATGTATACCAAACTGTTAAGCGATTACTACTATTATAAACTTTCTGGTTTCTATTCTCAAACTATAAAACAAATTAGGGTTTAACAGTTTATAACAGGATATATTATTAAAATGGTTTAGGGGACTACTCAGTAGGTTTTAATTGCATCCAAACAGAGGCAACGTTCGCTTAACATATAAAGCGCCAACTGTCATTTCAGGGATTTTTCTTTTTAAACAAGTGCCCTGTTTAAACATAAGTGTTAAAGGGAATGTGTATACAAATGTGGGAAAGACTAGACAGTATTCTAATGGTGTGGGAAGACCAATGTTTTGTATTCAATGGCCAAAAATATTCCTAAAAAGTGAGGTTTAAGTTGTAGTCTTCACTCTAGTGTGAAGTGTAGTCTTCACAACACTACTGTTGTGTGCTTTAAGGAACATTCCTTTGGAAAGGATAGACTAAGTGTCTCCAGCAATTTTAATGCATTCAGAAAAGAAACTAGTTTTCTATTTTAATAATTTGTTTTTAAAAAACTTGTCCAATGGGAAAAAATCCATCCCAATCAGTTTGCTAAAACTATATAAAAATGACATCTCTTTCCTAGACCACTCTCCCTACACTCCCCCATATGCTCCTAGAGGAGGCTGGAACCTGCCTTAGGGTCTGTCACAGGGACCACTTAAGCAGCCAGCCTATCTTAAAAAAAATCAAGCTTATGCTCAAATAAATTGGTTAGTCTCTAAGGTGCCACAAGTACTCATTTTCTTTTTGCGAATACAGACTAACATGGCTGTTACTCTGACACCTGTGAATTTTAGTAATTTTATTTACTGAGGGTTAAATAAGAAAAAGTGTTAATCTTTCCTTAAACTGCTAAAGGATGTGCCCAAAGTCTATTTAAATGTGTGTGTAAAGATCAGCCAAAACCACTGGTCCAGATCAATCCAGTTTTGCAAATAGTTTCAGTGCCCCCCAAAAATGTATTTTTTGGCAAATTTACTGTGTGCTGAAAAACTTTGCCTGGCTCTAATACTTAAACCAAGCATCCATTTACATCCATAGTTATCCTACATGACTGGCACGGGAAAATTTTACATAACTAAAGTTGATTACTTGCTTTGCAGGATTCCAAGAAGGGAATTAATAAAACTCAGATGTGTGGAGTATGTGTCATTGATTATACCTGGGATTAGTGCCTATTCTCCACCTCCACACATTAAGCTTGTAGGACCGAGTGTGTTTTTTGACTTATACCCACAGCCTCTTAAATTTAATTTATGTTGTAGATAGTGTTATGGTGAGTAGCTACAAAGCTGAGCAGTTCATGCCTATCATATGAGCAAAGTGGCATTCTTCTGTCCCTTCCTGATGGTATACAAAATTATTTTTTCCTACTATCCGTATCTGGATAAATCAAAGGGGCTTCAGGTGTCCTACCAGCTTTGAGGCTGTCTCAAAATCACTGTTTTGCCTGAGACATTAAAATAAAATGTAGTAACATTAATAGACAAACTAAAACAGCTACATTAAACATTTTAAATTAGTCATCAAGTCAGCAGTAATGCTGAATACTTGGCACCTGTGTAATTTTCTTTTCCAGATTCTCCTCAAATGAAAGATTAGGCATACTTTTTTTACAATTAGTAATTAACCATTGGAACAATTTACCAACGGTTGTGGTCGATTCTCCATCACTGACCATTTTTAAATCAAGATGAGATGTTCTACTAAAAGATATGCTCTAGGAATTATATTAAGGAAGTTCTGGGGCCTGTTTTGTTCAGGAGGACAGACTAGATCAAAATTGTCCATTCTGGCCTTCGAATCTGTGGAAAAAAGTGGCTATATAAAACAGCAAGCACAGCCTTCCCTTCATAGTAGTAAATAAAAATCTAGTAATTTTGTTCCTTTTAGCAATCTGGGAAGTCAAGAGGGAAGATTGTGTGTGTTGGAAAAGTTAGTTAACTCTTATTACAAACATCAGTGCAGAACTTAACAGTGGGAGTGTCCATTGAGTTAACTGTCCAACAGCAGCGTGAGGGACAAATTAGTTTCTATTTTACCATTGCATAGGTTTAATAATGAAACTTAAATTTTACAATACTTAATATTCATGCATTAGAACATTGGTTCTTTTTAAACATTGGTATGAAAAGAATGGTGGCTTTTTAAAAATTGGCCATTGTCATCACCCTTCAGCAAACTGGGTTGCAAGTTGATGAGAGACTGAAATGCCATGAATCCCTCAGCCCCACAATAACCAACAAAATTGATTCCCTCTTACAGAGAGCTTTTCACCTGAGGATACTGAAGCACTTTATAAACTTAAACCTCAGCCTGTAGTGAAGCAAGTCTCATACCCAATTTACAGTTAGGCAAAGTGTGACGTGCACATTTAGGGGAGCCTAGGTAAGTTACTGAGAGGCGGCGAGGGAAGAACTGGGAATGAGAATAGGACTCAAGACTCCTAGGCCCTGGTCCCTGAGCTAAACAGGGGTGTTACCTTCGGAGTTTAGAAGCCAATTAAATTACCTACAAATGTATCTGACAAAGGGAAAGCAAGGTTGTGGCCCTAAAGGAATTGCTAGGGTTTTCCCAGGGGGCTTGTCTCGGACCTGGAGAGGGCTCACCAGAGCAAGCTAGTCTTGATCCTTGAAAGGACACAGATACCACTTTCTGCTCAAGGATTGGTACACAAGTAGAAATTCTTTGAAAACAAATATTTAAAAAAAAACGTAAGAAGTTACAGGAAATTTACTAAAGAAAGAATGCATCAAACATAAAACATAATAGAATTACATTCAAATACACAGTGCAGCACACAAAGACACAGACTATATAATGTATAGCAATGTAATCATTCACTTAAGACAGTCACATTTAACATGTAACACTAACAATTTAATACCTAACAACTGTCTACATTAATATGTACATTAACATTCTGTGAGGGCTGATCATAAAATCATAGGACTGGAAGGGACCTCAAGAGGTCACTTAGTCCAGTCCCCTGCACTCATGGATGGACTAAGTATTATCTAGATCAGGGGTGGCCAACCTGTGGCTCCAGAGCCACGTGCGACTCTTCAGAAGTTAATACACGGCTCCTTGTACAGGCACCGACTCCGGGGCTGGGGCTACAGGTACTAACTTTCCAATGTGCCGGGGGGTGCTCACTGCTCAATCCCTGGTTCTGTCACAGGCTCTGCCCCCACTCCACCCCTTCCCCTGAGTCTGCCATACCCTCGCTCCTCCCCGTCCCCACCAGAGCCTCCTGCACGCCACAAAACAGCTGATCGGCAGGGCTGCTGGTGGGTGGGAGGCGCTGGGAGCGGGGTGTGGAAGTTGCTGACGTATTACTGTGGCTCTTTGGCAATGTACACTGGTAAATTCTGGCTCCTTCTCAGGCTCAGGTTGGCCGCTCCTGATCTAGCCCATCCCTGACAGGTGTTTGTCAAACCTGCTCTTAAAAATTTCTACTGATGGAGATTTCACAGCCTCCCTAGGCAATTTATTCCAGTGCTTCACCACCCTGACAGGAAATTTTTCCTAATGTCCAACCTAAACCATCTGTGCTGCAATTTAAGCCCATTGCTTCTTGTCCTGTTCTCAGGTTAAGGAGAACAATTTTTATCCCTCCTCCTTGTCACAACCTTTTACGTACTTGAAAAGGTATGTCCCCGCTCAGTCTTGTCACAGGATGGGTAGGGGAAAGCTCACTCAGACACAGGCATCCAGCTTTGTTGACAGATGCACCCATACATTCCTTAATAATAGATGGGGATTTACACTTACTTCTGTTATTCCCTCTGTAGCTCTTGAGCCCTCAAGGTCCTTTTGCTCTGTCTCACTGCTGTTCCTCCCAGATGGTACACGACACCAGTGCTGATTATGGCAGGGAGCAACAGCTACAGAACTGCTGCTGGCAGAGGCTGTTGGTTTGGTTGCTATAGCAACCATTGCCCAGGCAACCTCAGGGTTCTTTTGCTGCTGCAACTGCTGCTTCTTGAGGCTTCTAGCAGGCAGTCTCTTTCTGGAACCCCAAAGCAACCCCCCGCCAAACTCTCACAAGACTCCACCCAAAATCCAGCTTGTTTTGCTGGCTACGTCTTGATGCCCCTTGTAAGTGGTGGTTCTTCAGAACCCCAAAGCAACCCCTTCCCAAAGCCTCACAAGAGTCTACCCAAAGCTGCCTAAGAACCCTCTTCTCGGGTAGGAGTCTTGCAGCTTCTGTTCTTCTTGAAGGTCTTAAACCATTAGGAATTCACTCTAGTGGCTGTTGCCCTTATATACACTTTCCAGTCTACCCTGCTCAGCTCTGATTGGTTGCCTTTCAGTGGCATGATATTTTCTCAGTCTCTGATTGGTTGCTCTTTCAGTAGGGTGACATTCTCTTAGCCAATCAGCTACCTGCTTTCTAACTCATGTGTACCTACATGTGACTACTTCTCCCTGGCACCATCTTGGGTTCTAGGAGTTCCTAAAAAGTTCTAGGTGATCTTTCCCTGTATCTGCCATTTTGGTCCTCTATATTGGATTTTATAAATTTAAACTATTAATTTTTATTTATTTTAAGCCTTAATTTTAAAACTAATTACTATTTTATGCACACTAAAGTGTCCTGATACTGTCATCACTCTTTTTATGTCCAATTGAGAAAAAATTTACAAATTTAAACCCCCTTTCAAGGTTTTTCTGCAAGCCTTTATTCAAAACTTTCAAGGCAAAAATCTCTCACTACACTGTAGTCCCCACTTGAGCTTAGGGTAAAATAAGTATATAACTACTTAACTCAATTGACCTGAACAAAAGCAGTGAGAGAATTTCTTTAATTCTGTACCTAATCAAAAAATGTTAACAAGTAAGCAACCAGCAACACATCATTCAGTATGTGGGATTTTTGTAATTCACGATTATCTTTGGGTTCTTTCTTTAATCTGATTGTAAACAAGTTTGATTTGAGTTTAATCTTTAACCTGTTTTTACTAAGACTTGAGCATAGTGGAGTAAGGTCTTTATTCCCACATGGACATAAACATGTATACATGACCCACAACATACCTGACTAATGGTACAGTGCTATGGTTCACATGAACCACTTTACCTAAACAAAGGTAATCAAATGTTACATTTCATGGCATTAAAAAAACAGATTTTATACTACTCCATAATCCACACCCTAATTCAGGAGTTGGTACCATTAAGGTAATTAGGACTACTTGTGGAGTAAATATCGGTCCCTCAATTAGCCTGTCCTTCAAAAAAACCAACCAAAAAACCATCCAGGTAAGGCATCCTATCATCATCAGTAGTGAATGCAATTCATTTACAATATTCTGCATAAAGTAGGACAGTACTTCTTTGTGTGTGCTCTAAATTACCCAAGCAGCTCTTTTAGTTTTATCAAGTGTCCCCTTAACAAGTACTGTGGCTGCCTCTTGTGCAAAATAGCCTGGATTTGTTGACTTTCAAGTTATGCTGCAAAAAGAAAAGGAGTACTTGTGGCACCTTAGAGACTAACCAATTTATCTGAGCATAAGCTTTCGTGAGCTACAGCTCACTTCATCGGATGCATCATGTTATGCTGCAGGACTCATTTATTTCACCTGCCTTTCGAAGAGAGCCAGGAGGCTTGAGGTATAAGCTGATGTATGATTTGAATTTTGTATTTAATTCCAAGCTGCTACTTCTTACAAGGGGCGAGCTGCCTGAATTGCATTTTTGGTTCTGTAATTTTAAACAACTGGCAGGGTGGTCAAAGTCTATGGATGGGTGGCCTTTTTGTTATGCTACATAAAAAAAATAAGTCAATAAAGCAAGGGTCCAGTGGGAAAAATAGTGTGTGAGGATATAATTGAAGACTGTCATAATACATGTGGACAAAGAATCTAATTAAGGTTGCACGGGCAACTTTAATTTTGGCATTTCCTTACATTTGAGTGCTTGACTTTGCAACCTTAATGTTCATCTAATTTAGCTTTCTATGTAATTTCCTAAGTTAAAAAACAGTAAAAATTTGTTCCATGTGATGATGATGATTTTGTTTTTTCATATTGATACAGAGCATCATCATCCTTGATATAGAGCATCATCAGGATTGCGGTCTTTAAATCCACAGCACATATCCATTATGATATAGTCTTTAATTACATGATCACATACTATTTTTGCACCAGACTTGTGCAATTCAGTGCACAGGCTGGATGGTGAGCAGGTTTTCAATATTATGTTTTCTCCTCATTGTTTAATATGTAGCCCCAAGCTTTATTTACTGCTGATAGGATTATTCTGCAGATAGGATAGATAGATAGATTATTCTGCAGAGAGGATTATTAATGTCTTCATGGACTTTTTTCCTTTGGTATCTGAGTTCTTCACAAACACTAACTTATTTTCACAACACCTCTGTAAAATGAGTAGGGAATATCCCTGTTTTACAGATGGTGAACCAAGGTACACTGATTAAGGTAAAAAATACCCCCTAATTTTGGGGTGGCCAATTGGAGACACTTAGGACCTGATTTTTCAGAGTACTTAGCATTATCTAACACTTTATACACTCAAAGCACAGCTCCCCTTGCCTTCAGTTGCAGCTGTCAGTGCTCAGTACTTCTGCAAATCAAAAGCCAAAATATCAAGTTGGACACCCAGAAAATGAGGAACACAGAATTTTAGTGGCCATCTGTGGAAAAACCTGGTTTATGTGACCTACCCAGAATCATATAGGAATTCTGATACAGGCAGAGGTAGAATCAGATTCACAAGGGCAGCATTCAACTGCAAAACCATGAGACCTTCCTTTCTCTTCCTGCAATTCCTTGTCTGATCCACTACACACCTTCCAATTTCTGCAAATGAGGCATGGGTCCTACACACAACATTTTCCTTCACTACACAACCATTATTCATTCCCAGCACAGGCCTGTGCTGTGCACTAAATGAGGCAGGGCACCTGTGGAAAAAATATGTGACTATGTAATCAAAGACTATCTTAATGCATAGGTACAAGTGGGCCACATTATTGTTGCACAAGAAACTTAATTCTGGCATTTTCTATCTTTCAAGTGCTTTGCAAGCAATTCTTTAACATAGTTTTTTTGGATGTAATATACAGAGTAGGGCAGCTTCTGTGCCATGCTTTCTGAGAGATTCAGTACAGAAGTCGCGTCTCAGGGGGAGGTAGGGTGGGGCAAAAGTTACTTTAAACCACATTTGTGCTACTAAGAGTCTTCTTTCAAGACCAGGAGACACTGTGGACACTAGTGTAAGTTAGAGCAGCCCCAGGGACCACTTACGCTGGCCTTTTGCTGCACCTGTGCTGGTGTCCAACGTACTGTATTTGCCCAGCTTCTTGTGGCTCTCCTACAGCTTCAATGTGCCACCAGACCAGTGACCAGTATGTGACCCAATGTACTTATTGTTTTTATTAATTGTCACTCTCTGCTCTATTCTTCAGTCACTTAATTTGTTTTTCACTCTGTGTCTGCTCCATTTTCCATTCTATATTTTTCATTGGTTATGTCTCCTCTGTGCAATGCAGATGCCATAATTTTCCAGATGAACTTTCAAACCATGCTTACGTGGGTTTGAAGTGAGGAAAAATGCATTTGTCTATTCTGGTCTCTAACTCCTATTTTTCAGTGAGGGTTATATTCCAGAGCATTATGATAGAACGTTAGCATGAAAACAGAACCCCCCCAGAGCAGGGGCAGGAAACTTTTTGGCCTGATGGCTGCATCGGGTTTCTGAAATTGTATGGAGGACCAGTTAGGGGAGGCTATGCCTCCCCAAACAGCCAGGCATTGCCCGGCTCCTGCCCCCTATCCGATGCCCCCACTTCTCGCCCCTGATGGCCCCCCCCAGGACTCTTGCCCCATCCAACCTCCCCTGTTCCCTGAAGGCCCCCCAGGGACCTCTGCCCCATCCACCCCCAATGCTCTTGGTCCCCTGACTGCCCCCGGACTCCCTGCCCCTAACTGCCCCCCGCTGCCCCATCCAACCCCTCCTCCTTCCTGACTGCCCCCCGGACCCCTGCCCCATCCAACCACCCCTTCTCCCTGACTGCCCCGGATCCCTTGCCCCTAACTGCCCCCTTCCCCTAACTGCCCCCCACCAGTCCATTCAACCTCCCCTCTCCTTCCTGACTGCCCCCCCCCGGAACCCCTGCCCCCATTCAACCCCCATTCCCCTCCCTCTGACCGTCCTGACCCCTACACATGCCCCTGACCACCCCCCGAACTCCCCTGCCCTCTATCCGACCTCCCCGCTCCCTGCCCCCTTACCGCACTGCCTGGAGCACTGGTGGCTGGCTGCGCAGCTGCACCAGGACAGGCAGCCGTGCCGCGCAGCACAGAGCACTGGGTCAGGACGGGCTCTGCACCCCCGCAGCCCAGAGCATTTTGCCGCGTGACAGCATGGCTGTGGGGGAGAGGGGACAGCCTCCCGAGCCAGGAGCTCGGGCCAGGCAGGACGGTCCCGCAGGCCAGATGTGGCCCACGGGCCGTAGTTTGCCCACCTCTGCCCTAGAGGCTGTGTCTTGGCTATGTATATTGGGAAATCCAGTGCAATCCACACCTTATTTTAACCCTGATTACAGGTCTCACTTTTACTCTCTCTAATTACACAGTATAAAGCCAATGAAAAGGGTGATAGGTAAGCAAAATAATGTCATATCAAATTCTCTGCTAACCTTATTACCAGTGAAATTGCCTGACTGAGCAACCATCTCATCAGTGTTGTGGAGATCAATTGTATCCACCTCTGAAAACTCATTTTATTGATCACAACTTGCTCAGATTTGTGTGATTTCATGCTCCTGAACAATTTTATTTGATGATGAGAATGTTATAAGCCAGGTCACAATACTACTTATTTTAGAAAGCCATTTAATGTTTTCTTATGATCTAGCCTCCTTCTCCCCATTGACTGAGGACTATTTGAAGATAAGATTGGTGAATGGTCAAAATGCTTTGAAGTTGGAAAGTGCCATATAAGTGCTAGGTATTATTAAGTGTAAAAATTCCCAAGGCTCAGGTTAAACTTGATCTGTACAGTTGTTTGTATCTTCAAAGTCCTCATGCAATGGCAGTAACATTCTCGCTATTTGATTTGTTCTAATTTAACCAAAACACAGTTAACTGAGTGTATTATATTCCCTGTCCTAAAATGATTTTTGAGGGGTAAATCAACTGCGTTTACTTGTACAAATATTTAGAAATCTAAATTCCATTTTTATTTTCGGACTATTGGAGTTGAAATACTGGAGTCATTCTTATCTGTTACATTCCTCTGTTGTACTGGAGTATTCACCAGATCTAGATTCACATTTAATAGGGTTAAAGAATGCTGTGACCCTTGCCCCATGATTGAGCATTACATTGTTGCAGCAGGTTTCAGAGTAACAGCCGTGTTAGTCTGTATTCGCAAAAAGAAAAGGAGTACTTGTGGCACCTTAGCGACTAACCAATTTATTTGAGCAAAAGCTTTCGTGAGCTACAGCTCACTTCATCGGATGCCTACTGTGGAAAGTGCAGAAGATCTTTTTATACACACAAAGCATGAAAAAATACTCCCCCCACCCCATTCTCCTGCTGGTAATAGCTTATCTAAAGTGATCACTCTCCTTACAATGTGTATGATAATCAAGGTGGGCCATTCACTTGGTGAACTTAAATTAGTTCCTCTTCTCTCAGTTTCTGGTTTGCAGAACAAACATTTACTGTAGTTTCCAATTTGCGTATTCCTCTTGGACCTCATCCCTCCATGTGCTCAGTGCCTTGAACTCTCACTGAAGGGAGTGAGATTTGCACCATTAATTTTGTTTATAGTGTTGTTGTAGCCATGTTGGTCCCAGGATATGAGAGAGACAAGGCAGGGGAGGTCATATCTTTTATTGGAC